CTGAATAATTGTAGACAGAGTGTTCTGGTGAGTCATAAACTCTTATCATAAAAAAAAACCCAATTGAATTTAGAAACAAAGAATCAGATTTTTTCCATTGGTGATTCTATACATTTAGGATTTAGCACTTTAAAATAATAAAAGCCATACAGAATTGTGGAAAAGTACAAAGTTTACTGGGTTGACTTAAGCTAACAAAGGAAAGGCTATGGGAAATGCATCCAAGACATGAAAAAAAGGATGGCCTCCATCTTTTCCCAGAAGGACTGAAAACATGTCTGATGTAGAACCTTGAAAATTTTCATCAGTTTATCCATATCTGTGGGCATAATGTTGAGCTTGGGCCACTGGGCTCAGTTGGTAAAAGGCACTATGCTTGTATGATGCCTTGTTTTTGAAAAATGATTTTGTACTATCTCAGATAGCTTTTTATGTTTCAGATTTACCTTACAGTGAAAGATAATACTGTCCATCATTGGTAAATAGGTATCTTTGTACACATTTGATTACTATCACAGAAAACCACTTTCTGAAATGCCCAAGGACTGGAATTTGTACCTGTGAGGGTAGTTAACCCATTAATCTGCATTTGCTTAATACGCTGAATTATAATTTAGCTATATAGCCTAGATTTGTACGACATACTATGCCACAAACTAGGCAGTTACATTTTAGCCTACTGTATTACTATATATGAACTCATTCACAGCTAGGCAGAACTTTTAATGGCTGGAGTCAACAAAAGGAGGTGATGGAAGTGTGACAAGTAACTAGCAGTGGGTAAAAACAATTTTTAAAAGTGAGAGTTTTTAATAGCAATAGCACTTAGACTTATATACCGCTTTATAGTGCTTTACTGCCCCCCTCTAAGCGGTTTACAGAGTCAGCATATTGCCCCCAAGAATTTGGGTCCTCATTTTACGCACCATTTTAATCCTGAGAACATACTTTTTGTCTTGAAAATTGGAAGCTATTAGGAGAAATTAAAATAAAACTGAAGAGCATATGGCAAAGAACATTAAAATAAGCAACATTAAAAAAAAATATTCTAACTAACTGAATATGAATCAGGTCCAAAAAGCATCTACTCAAGAATTCTTAAATACTTCCGGTTTGTCGGCTTCGCGAGCGGCAGGGATTTGCGACTCTCTGCGATCCCTGCCGCGCTAGCCGTTTTTGGTGCTCCGATCCGGACGGGTTCGGAGCTAGGCTACCCTGCAGGTAGCAGGTGCAGCGGCGGTCCGCAATGGCCGCCACAAAGAAGCCGGCAGCTGGGTAAGAATGTGCAGGAGGAAGAGGAGAAAGCCTTTGAGAGTGAAAGTTTTCTTGGTTGATCCAGGACTCTAAGATACATTTAATATAATTCCTGGAAATTATGGCTTTTTGGATGATTCTTTCCACAAGAGAAAATAAGCGGCAATTTTGAGGTGCTGAAAGGAAAGTTTATTCTTCCTCCCGACGGAATTAATAAGTGGATATTGAGAAACCTGTTTTTTTTTCAGGTAAAACTAGCTTTATGTGATAAGTCAGAAGGGAGAGGACAAAAAAGATATTCATTTGGTCTGATGTTGTTGGAGGAGATGCCTTAAGGATTTGAAGACAGAAATATAATTTCAATAAGGCTTTAAAATACAGATTTGGATTTTCTTTTTTCTTTTGTCTGATACTACCCCTGGAAGAGAAAGGGAGAACATTGTCTTGGCTTGCATTGATTGAGGACTTTGGGATTGTTCTATCTTTTTCTTGAAATATCTTGGTTGGTGTAAGAAGAAAGAGGGAAAAAAGAAAAGAAAAGAAAAGATTTATAATGGCTTTTCCTTTTGAGGATCTGAGGGAAGAATATGAGCAAACAAAAACAGATGGTAAAGATGGTATGGAAAAAGCCTTCCTTTTTTTAGAAATGGCGCTGGTTAACTATCAACAGACAATACAACAGATCGAGGCAGAAGAACAACAACAAGAAGAAGACGAAGAAGCCATCTTCAATGAATTTCAAAATTTAACCAAGAAAGAAGGAAGGAAGAAAGCGAGGAAAATGAAGGACTTAAGATTTAAAAAAACATTCAAGAAAGAGAAAAATAAGATGCAAAATAAATATAATGATAGTAAACAAAAGAAAAAGGGAACACAACAGAGAAGGGATGCTAGCAAGGCAGAGGCTAGAAGAAGGGGGGGTAGGAAGATTTGGTGGGGGAAGAAAGAAAGGGGAAAGGCGGAGAAAAGCCACAAAGTTTTGAAATTAGATGGGAAAAGAGGAATTTTTTTTAGGGACAAAGGGTAAAGTACAATTTCTTTAAAAAAGATTTTGCAAGGTACATAAGATGGTATTGTAACACTTGTATTAGAAATAGAAAATTAGAATGGCGTAAGAGTTAATAAGAAATTAAAATGTTGAAATGTTTAATAATGATTGATTTTAAAATTTAATAAAATATTAAAGGGAATGTTTAGAATATTGAGTTTTAATTAAAGAGTTTAATATGACTATGGTATTGATGTTATTATAAAACTATTATAGTAGCATTTGTTTTTTTGAAAAGGCAATGGGAAAGCTATAAGATTTAATATTTAGATTTATTATTTAACTATGTATTCAATCATTCTGGATTTATTACTCTGTTTTTATTATTATTAAAAAAAAAATTAGTAGATAGAATGTACCAAGCAGAATCAGATTGGGTATTAGGTGTTATTTTAAATGTTAATTTAATTAATTTAGGGGGAGGATAGAAAGGCATCATATTCTGAGTAGTGATTTCAGGAGAAATTCTTTTTCTTTTTATTATAAGGAATGAGATAGAGGGATAATAAAGAATGGGCAAAAGATACAAATATAATGATTTAAATTAAGATGGATTAAATAAGATAGAATTAAGAAGAGTGAAATGTGTGGAGAAGTTTTTATAGAAGATATAGAATGGTAAATAAAATAGGTAATGATATGTAAGATGAGCATGAATATAATTGAAGCCCACGTAAAGAGAGGTACCTGGAGCCAAGTTACTTTCCTAAAAGATTTTTTGTATGTTTGTTTGTTGTGTGTTTATGTTGTTGGAAGAATTAATAAAACCTTGTAGAAATACAGAATGAGAATAATGGTAACCAAGTCAGAAAGAAATAGATGAAATAATAATAGTGAAATTGAATAAGAGTAAAGAGAAGTAAAGAGAAATTGGATAAGGGGTATTTTTATGCTCATATGGAAATGGCTTAAAATAGAATTATATTGTATAAAATAAGGTTTTATCTGACTTGTAAAACTTATAATGGAAAAAGGTTCAAGTATGTAATGGTTGATGATGATTTGTTTGTTTTTGAAATTAATAAAATTTGTTTAAAAAAAAAAAAGAATTCTTAAATACTTCAAAGGTGATGTTGTTAACCTAGAAAAATAATTGCCATGTATAGAATAGGTGGTACCGGCTCAACAGTAGTAACTCTGAGAGGGATCCTGGAGTCCTAGTAGATAATTAATTAAGAGCCAACAGTGTGCTGTAGCTGCCAAAAAAGCCAACATAGTCCAAGGCTACATTAACAAGGACAGAATCAAGATCACATGAAGTGCTAGTAACACTTTATAATGCCTTGCTATATTGCGCTTAGTTTTGATATGATATAAAAAAGTTGTGGAGACTCTAGAAAGAGTACAGATAAGAGCAATAAAGATGATTAGGGAACTGGAGGCTAAAACATGTGAAGAATGGTTGCAGATATGTCTAGTTTAATGAAAAGAAGAACTGGGGTGACATGATGGCAGTGTTCCAGTATCTGAGGCGCTGCCACAAAGAGGGTGAACGTAGTCTCCAAAGCACCTGAAGGAGAGTCAACCTAGAATAAATTTCCTGACAGAACCATTAATCAGTGGAATGACTTGCCATTAGATGTTCTGGGTGCTCCAACACTGTAGGCTTTTAAGAAGAGATCAGACAGCCATTTGTCTGAAATGGTAGAGGGTTCCTGCTTGAGCAAGGTTTGGACTAGAAGACATTGAAGGTCTCTTCCAACTCTTATTTCTGTCATATTAAATGAGGATAATTCAGTAAAAAGGAATTATTCTTTACACTTGTTAAACTATGTCTAGTGATGGCCTCTAATTTAGATGGATTAGAATGGCTATCGGATTTGAGGGCTATATTTTACCACCCAGAATTACAGACAGTAATTTTAAACATTGATTGCTCGAGAAAAATGGTGGAAGCGGGTCATTCCTTCATGATCTGCATGCAGGTTTTTGTGTTGCTTGGCTGGCCATTGTCCTAACACAGAATGATGGACTATATCAGGGGTGTCAAACTCATGTTGTAATGGCAGCATCACATATTGGGACTTTTTTTTCCCTTTGCAAAACCAGGCATGGGCGTGGCCAGTGCATGACACATCCGGCCCATGGGCTGGAAATTTGACAGTCCTGGACTATATGATCCCTCAAACACATCCAGGAGGACATTTCTTGCTTCCCTTCATTGTAAGCAGCTTCATCTAATATGCTAGATTGAGCAAAAATTAATCTGCAATATTTTATCAATTAGTATGCTACATGAATCCAAGTTACCACATTTTAAAAACTCTTTATTTACCATCCTGAAAATGTTAAACTGCTTAATTGTTGTTAAGCAAGTTATCATATTTACAATAGTCTGGTGTACATTACTAGAAATTGTATAAATTGCATAATAATGTTCTTAGATTTAGCCCATTTCATAAATAGAGACCAGTTTTTAATTCTGGGGAAGAAATCAGAAACACGTTTTTAGAAAAAATATGTCAAATCCTTCAGATGACATTTTAAAATCTCTCTCTTATCTTAGAATACTTCATCAAAGTTGTCTATTTGAAATTAACAATTATGGGTTTTAGAAGTTTTTTTCCTCATTCCAAACTCTAATATTTTATTTGCTATCTATTTATGATTGTTTATTTAGCATTTCTGTAATGTTTAGTTTCAGAAATTTTAGTGATTCAGGCCATTTACTTTCATAATTATTTAATTTTGTTTGCAATTTCTTGTATCACTGCCAGAATTCCTTTTGTGTTTATCAAGAGGTAGGGTTTTTTCTTTGAGAGTGAGAGAAATGCCAAAAACCTGTATCTACAGTTAACACAACAAACATGTTAATTCAGAGTGTAACAACTACAAATACTGAACTTCATGTGACAAATACAGTAATAGAAAAATAATTGGAAAATGAAACTGCCAATATTGGTGTATCCATGTTTTTCTACCTCAAGAATGGAAAAAAGTAATCCAAGTGATTTGTTAAAATTAATGCAGTTCGATTTAGATCAGACAGCAATAATCAAAACTGTTAAGCTACTGAAGCTAAACTTCCTTGAATTTTTGGTGAAGAATCATCCATAGATATAGAAAATGCATTGTCCTCAAAAATTTCACAGACTTTCTTCAAGATCATTCTTAAAAAAAAAAACTAATTTCAGTTTTGCAACTGCTTAGAGTGAGAAAGAAAAAAATGGTATATGCATGCTCATGGTCAGCCCTAAGAATCATCTCAGTAATATCCTGGGCTAAATAAATACTAAATATTAAATATTTGGGAGAATAATGCACCTTAAGTGGGGTTCAGATTTGTCTTGTGTGATTACAGTAGTTCTTTACTGAATTTGGTGTTGTGATGGTGACTTACCTCTTCCTATTCCTCTGTACCAACCACTGCCTTTAAATGAATAAAGAAAGACTGCGTCATCCAGATAATGCACATACCAAATGTACAACTTTATGGAATCATTTTCAAAAGAAGGGGCAAAACAATAGCAAGGAACTATTGTATTGGAGCTACAGTGACTTCAACATGGAATTTTTGAAACCACATTGATGAATGCTCCTATTCAAGGAGATCCTAAGAAGGCATGGCCAAAGAAGTTCTTTAGATCCTGTCCATGTATCAAGATTACTTAATATCTTTGAAATCTATGCATTTCTGATTCTCCAGTGCTAGTCCATGAAGCAACATGACTTTAATGATTCTAATAGCAAGCATGGTAACAGTAATATCACACCAAAGTTATTTTGCTCTTTTTCATTTATATCATGATATGACATATCATTTATGTCATGATAAACTTATTTCCCTGAAGTTACAGAATATTGATGAATATGGGGATAAAGGATCATTGGTATATTTAGATTTCAAAAAAAGTGAAAAGCAGAGTTATAATTATAGGAATAACTCTACAGGTGAAACTCAAAAAATTAGAATATCATGCAAAAATTCATTTATTTCTGTAATGCAACTTAAAAGGTGAAACTAATATATGAGATAGATTCATTACATACAAAGCTAGATAGTTCGTGATTTGTCATAATTGAGGTGATTATGGCTTACAGCTCATGAAAACCCCAAATCCACAATCTCAGAAAATTAGAATATTACATGCAATCAATAAAACAAGGATTGTACATAGAACAATATCGGACCTCTGAAAAGTATAAGCATGCATATGTACTCAGTACTTGGTTTGGGCCCCTTTTGCAGCAATTACTGCCTCAATGCGGCGTGCCATGGAAGCTCTCAGCCTGTGGCACTGCTGAGGTGTTATGGAAGACCAGGATGCTTCAATAGCGGCCTTCAGCTCTTCTGCATTGTTCGGTCTCATGTCTCTCATCTTTCTCTTGGCAATACCCCATAGATTTTCTATGGGGTTCAGGTCAGGCAAGTTTTCTGGCCAATCAAGCACAGAAATCCCATGGTCATTGAACCAGGTTTGGGTGCTTTTGACAGTGTGGGCAGGTGCCAAGTCCTGCTGGAAAATGAAGTCAGCATCCCCATAAAGCTCGTCTGTGGAAGGAAGCATGAAGTGCTCCAAAATCTTCTGGTAGATGGCTGCATTGACCCTGGACTTAATGAAGCACAGTGGACCAACACCAGCAGATGACATAGCTCAACACAGACTGTGGAAACTTCACTGGACTTCAAGCATCTTGTAGTGTGTACCTCTCCATTCTTCCTCCAGACTCTGGGTCCTTGGTTTCCAAATGAGATGCAAAAGTTGCTCTCATCAGAAAAAGAGGACTTTGGACCACTGAGCAACAGACCAGGTCTATTTTTCTTTAGCCCAGGGAAGAGGCTTCTGACGTTGTTTGTTGTTCAGGAGCAGCTTGACAAGAGGAATATGACATTTGAAGCCCATGTCCAGGATCCGTCTGTGTGTGGTAGCTCTTGATGCACTGACTCCAGCCTCAGTCCACTCCTTGTGAAAGTCCCCAACACTTTTGAATGGCCTTTTCCTGACAATCCTCTCCGGGCTGCGGTCATCCCTGCTACTTGTGCAGCTTTTTCTTCCACACTTTTCCCTTCCACATAACTTTCTATTAATGTGCTTTGATAGAGCACTTTGGGAACATCCAACTTCTTTTGCAATTACCTTTTGAGGCTTTCTCTCCTTATAGAGGGTGTCAATGATGGTTTTCTGCACAACTGTCAGGTCAGCAGTCTTTCCCATGATTGTGATTCCTGCTGAACTAGACTGAGAGACCATTTAAAGGCTCGGGGAACCCTTTGCAGGTGTTATGGCTTAATTAGCTAATTAGAGTGGGACACCTTGAGCCTAGAATATTGAACCTTTTCACAATATTCTAATTTTCTGAGATTGTGGATTTGGGATTTTCATGAGCTGTAAGCCATAATTATCTCAATTAAGACACATCACGGCTTGAACTATCTTGTTTTGTATGTAATGAGTCTATCTCATATATTAGGTTCACCTTTTAAGTTGCATTACTGAAATAAATGAACTTTTGCATGATATTCTAATTTTTCGAGTTTCACCTGTATTTCTAAAACAATTTCCCCCAATCTAGTGGTCTCCTCACCTCTTGGAACTAGAATTCCAGAATTCTGTAATTGGAAATTTTAGGAACTTCATTCCCCTCTTTGAAGACATGAGGGTGATGAAGAATGTTTACTTAACTATATTTGCTTTGCTCTTTTGTGTATTCCAGCAACATTCTCCAGGGCATTCTACTATTTTAAAAAATCCGGAGAGGTTTTAAAAGGCATGGGCACTAAAATAACAAACTATTTTAGCTTATTATAGTTTTCAAATGGTTACAGTCTTACATTTCCTTGAAGTGTGAATACATTTAATGCTTTCTATTAGAAAAATTCCCTTAATATTTTTCTTCCACAAATCTTTCTTTGACATATGAAATAAACAAAAACAGAGGCAGATGGATAGAAAAGTTATTTTTAAGTACACTGAGATTTCTAGCAGCTTTTACATGATACAAAGGGGAGGGGATAAATAAATAACATAAGGTGCAATCATTACAGGTAATAGGGTTGCTAATTAAACCTTCACTCAGAAACAGGCTAATGCACATTCTTCCAGAAAAAGACTAGTTTAGAAGTTGGTTGGTGGGTAGGTGATGGATTTGAAGTTTAACAGTAAAATCCTAACACTGTGTCTCTAGCAGAGGTGGAAACCTCTAGGTCTCCAGATGTTGATGAACTACGATTCCAACAACCCCAGCCAGCATGGCTAATGGCAACTGTAATTTACCAACATTGGGGCAACCACAGTTCCTGCACCCTTAATGTATATAAGCAGTCCTACAGCAATTTCAATGTTCCTTCACTTTTTTTTCAACTATTTATTAAGCTAATTACAGAGAGTGTATAGATGTTAGGACAATTGTGCTTATCCAGCCCCTGATGTAAACAGTAGTAGTTCTGATTGCTGTCAACCTAATAAGATTCTTTTGCTAGGGAAGTTATACATTCTGGATATGTCTTGACCACTACAATGACTCCCAGTGGCTAAAAGAGAAACTACATGTATTATATAGTTACAGCATGTTGCTGTTCTATTTCTTTTCACTTATTCTCAAGTCAGTAAGCAAAATCAAGATAAGTAATGCAGCACGTGGGTTTAGGAGGGCTACCTCTTTCTTTTTTTACTGTTTCATTTTCAACTTCCTTCCCCCCCCCATCACTCCCAAATTACGAACGCATAATACAAATAGAATGAATAAGGGGAAATAATATTTCTAGCCCTTTTCTTTCTCATTTCCAATTAACCTTCACCCAAAGGAGCATCCCAAGTGCTTTTTTGTGATGAGTCTTAAAGATTTCACTAGTCTCTCCTAATTCATCCTTACAGTAACTTTGTGAGAAATTCCTAGTCTGAGAGATGGGCTAATCAGGAACTTGAACATGAGTCTCCCTAGTCTAATTCCAATACTTTGACCATTATCCTGCTGGAGCAAGACTTTGGCTGATCTTAGAAGGCAAGTGGGGTTAGTCTAGCTAGCACCTGAATAGCTAGCCACATAAGAATATTTTGGAGATAGGCTAGATTGGAAAGTTGAAAAACCATCCCAGAAGAAAGCAGTGGCAAATTATTTCCATAATACCATCAAGAAAACTACATGTGTGCATCAGGAGGAGAAAAACTCAATTAGCACTATACTAATTACTATTAAAATTAACAAGAGTCTATGGATCTCCAGCATACTTTCTATTTTGATCCTCCTGGTGCCTCATCTGATGTGACTAAAGTCACTAAATTGCAAAAATTAATTATTTGATTACTCTTCCTAAGCCTGCCCTTATTGTCATCACATAATGCTGGGGGAGGGGGATTGCAATTAATTTCTTTATGGTGATATTACTAGCTTATTTACCAATGGGTTTTCCATTAATGTTCATAGCTTCCTGCAAAGCTTATAAAGGATTGCAAAAGAATGGGTTAGACAGTTTTGTTCTCCATCAATTACCTTCAGATATTTTTGACCTTATATAATGTCATTAACAGAAGGGAAATCTAATATTCCAGCTTATATACTTTCACTGATACAGTGATTAGTATCTTTTGAAAAGGCCTGCCTCTATTAAAAGTGAAATTATAATAAGAAAATGTAAGTTAGTGTAAACTGGCAAAAAAATAGAAGAGGGAAGTAGAGATTACCACATAATGCTTTTTGTAAGGGAATAAAAATAATGATTTTTAGCTGTCTAATTTTGTGACTGATGTTGACAAATGAATGCTTGTACAAGCACAAGCATGCCATTGGCATGAAATGGGTTTATTACAATTGCTGTATATTCTATGGCTATTTTAGAGATCAGTAAATTCTGGCACATAAATTGAGAGCTTCTTTGGGGTTTTCCAGTTGAGAACGGCTTGGCCATTCTAGTATGTACCTTTCAGGAAACCAATATGGAGTCTGAACTAATCCTTGCTCAGAGGAACCACATATCCTAAAGCCAATCTCATAATGCTTGTTGATCATCAAGATCTGAAGCCCCACTGGATTCCAAGGCAGAAACTACTGTACATATACAACACAGCAAGGAAGTTTATGTAGAAAGTTCACATTTGGAGCTGCTTAATGTCTCAAAATATATCTGTGCTGATATCTGGAGTTGCGTAGAAAAACAATAATATGGAGGGAAAGGGATTGTTGTCTTCACTCTGCAGTGATATCGTCAGTTCCTATAGTGAAAATACATTCAAAAGGTTACACAAAACAATGTGGAAAGAGAGATAATATTATTTAGAATTATTTTGCCTATTTGTTCCTTTGATCTTTTCAATAGTTGATTCCAGGTTAAGCATCAAAATATGTTTTTGTTAGCAACCAAGCTCCAACTGGAAGCCATAGTTTGATGTTCTCAATTCTGACTTTTTAAACTATGATTTGTTAACTTGGTTTGTCCTTATTTCTTTTTGTGTTCTACCTAAGCTTGTTAGCAATCCACAAAGATGCAAAGTTTCAAAAAGGTTGCCCTTCTCAAACAAAATTGAATTTTTTTCCAAACTCCCAGTTTTCCTTTCCAACAGCATTTTTGTCAATAGTACCTTCAATATTATTTGACAAACAATTGTGATCTGTTTTCATATATAGCTAAACTATAACCCACAATGTAAAAATCACAAAAAGTGGGTTCATACATATTAAGCCAAAATCAATCAGCACCATTTGTGAAGTAAGCATTATGTATGGCTTAATAACAACTTAATAATGTCAAATGCCAAGATATAGTGCCCATGTGGAAGACTGAAGCAAAGATGGCAAGACACAATAAATGCAGACATGAAAACTAGACCTTGCCATTGCAGGAATAACTATAGGAAGGCAATGATGATGATGAAATGCCAAGAAATACCCCTCATTTTTTAATTTGGAAATGATTTTTCTTTAAATCATTTTAATAGAACAAAAATGATGAAACTTATTCAGATTTTAAGATATTTTTGTTTGCTTTTTTAATTAAGAAAATTGAGGTAATGAGGGTATCACAGAAACAGAAATCAGCTGCTATCAGTATATTTATGATTTCAGCCCTTGTGGCACAATAGTTAGAGTTCAGTTTTGCAGGCAAACTCTGTCCACAACCTGGAATTCAATTCTGATGGGGCTGAAGGTTAACTCAGCCTTCCATCCTTCTGAGGTCAGTAAAATGAGGACCCAGATTGTTGGGGACAGTATACTTACATTGTAAACCACCCTGAGAATGTTGTCAAGCACTATGGGGTGGCATGTAAGTCTAAGTGCTATTGCTATATTTACCTGAAACATCTTCTGAAGAAAAAGTAGCAAACAAATATATTAAGATTCCTCTTCTTCTTCCTCTTCTTCTTCTTCCTCCTCCTCTTCTTCTTTTTCCATTTTTTCCTCCTCTTCTTCCTGTGTTGCTTCTACTTCCTTTTGTTACATAAAATAATGGAAGAATAGTCAAACAATGGAGCTAAAAGAAACAGCTGTTATGTTAAATGTGCATATTTTCTCATGGAACAAAAAAAGAGGCTTATGCTACAATGCAAAGTTCATATTGATTTAAAAGTAATCAGGTCCAGTACTCTTGACATGCCACTATTAAAGTGGCCTCTAATACTGACATAAATTGTGAGTAAGAAAGAATTCCTTCATTTGAACATGGCATATACCATATGCAATTATAATGTATTGCCAGATATTTCATTTTGTTCAATAAAAATGTAAACTCAAAAATGTTAAGTGTCGTTACATAAGCACATAAAGACATGTCATCAACCCTACTGATTAAATGAAAACACAGAGGCTATTTTCTTAGTCCAAAAAGTCAACCAACTTAACTTTCTACATTAGTCTATACACATTCATGCATACACTTTACAAAGAGTTGTTTAGAATAAATCCTTTGACTTTCATGCCTTACTATTTAACTAGGCAATCATAAGAAATCTCATCAGCATAGTTATACTTACTATGTTGGGAGAATGGTTTCTAGAACACATCAGAGCAAGTAATCAACATAGATTATCTACATAGATATGAGTCGGGTGGCTATATAAATTTGTTTAATAAATAAATAAATTAGTTGTATAAAAGTAAAATAATTGCATAAAATACAACTACAATTGAAATGGTAACTTCGGCTTAGCATTGGTTCCCTAATCAACCACAAATATTCACTACTCTCTGAACCTTAACACTGGCCAGAAGAGGCCGTTGTATTTGTGCACATGCCTAAGTTCAACATGATTATTAAGGTTAGTTCATAGTTTAAGAGCAAATAATTTCATTAGGACAGGATTGGAAAATGAATTATTTGTGGTGAAGGATGATGAGATTTGAATGCAAATGTTGCTTGTTAGATTTCAATCCTAACAGTTATATTCCCAATGTTAATTTGGAAGAAAAATAGCTGTCATGGTACGTTTTAAATATATTTAAAAGCAATGGACACAGTGGAAAAATGCATATGAAATAAGGCATTCAAATCTGTTACTGTACTTCTGTTGCTGGCTGTTCTTCATCTTGTCCCTGAAACAGACCATGAAAGACTATTTTTAAAAAGAGATCTAAAAAGAAAACCAAAAAATGACAACAATGCTACCGTGGAGATATATATTATTCTTATTAGCACAGTGAAAACCATCAACATTGTCTGTTATTTATTGACTCTCCAATTGCATAGCATAGGATTTGTTGCTAGCTACAGAATTCAGCACTCGGTGAACGTCAGCTTTCTTAAAAAATAAAAAAAGTCCATTGAAAAGACAGGTCTGAATATCAGCCATCTACTGGACAAGAAATCAGAAGGTTTGGGGCAGGTCCTTATTCTTCTCCATTTCTTGTTAAAAGACGCTGATATACTGTATGAATAGAGTTTAAATATTTGTTCCATCTGCAGGTAGAGGTCACAAAATGTGGTTTAACTATTTTTATTTTATTTATTTATTTTGTCAAGCAATTATAAGATAGCAGGTATAAGTATAACATAGTTATGAATACATGAAATGGATACATATAAGAAAAATAAACAGAAACAATAGGATAGGGACGGTAGGCACATTGGTGCACTTATGCACGTCCCCTACAGGCCTCTTAGGAAAGGGGTGAGGTCAATAGTAGACAGTCTAAGGTAAAAGTTTTTGGGGTTTGGGGAAGAAACCACAGAGTCAGGTAGAGTATTCTAGACATTGACCACTCTGTTGCTGAAGTCATATTTCCTGCAATCAAGTTTGTGCGGTTTACCTTGAGTTTGTATCTATTGTGTGCTCTTGTATTGTTATGGTTGAAGCTGACAGGTAGGACATTGCAATATATAATTTTATGTACTATACTTAGATCGGGCCGAAGGTGGCGTAGTTCTAGGTTTTCTAGGTCTAGAATTTCAAGTCTGGAGCCATAAGGTATTCTGCAACGAGTAGAGGAGTGGAGAACTAGGCAGAGTTTTGGTTAATACTGTGCCAAATATTGTACATCTTAGCCTTCTCATTTTGTTCTGCTTCTAAGCTTCCCCATTACCATTCCTGGGGAAGAAGATCAAGGGCCACAGGTCTTTTGATGCTTACTTTCTATAAGGGTTTAAAGAGGTTGGGTTGATAGGGGACTAGCAGATAGAAGAGGCAAGAGGAACAGCAACAGGATTGGTATTTGCAGTGTAACTCTGCCAAGCCAATTCTTGACAACAATCTTGCTGTCATGTAATGCTTAATTTGAGTTAAACTGGAAATGAATTTAAACATAAGGAAATAAGAAACAGAGGGTGTGTAACTTTAAAAAATGTTATGCTTGCTGTAATGTTGGGAACACTGTTGTTTTTGTTGCAACATGCTCCTTGCATTGCAATCAATTTCAGCTTGGAACTACAGATAAAAGAGCTTATTTTTATTCCTCCAGAAGGATGATTACTTATCAGCCCTTATCAATCATCTGCTTGGACATATGAGGCTTGGAATTATGTAAGGAATGAGACTGTGTATGATAAGGTACAGTTTCATATTGTATCTCCCAACTGCATGCATTGCAGTCACAAAGAGCAGAGTCCAAGGCTACACTTGATTTTTTGGAGAATCCTGAAGGAGACTCCATCACAACTGAGGGTGAAGCAGATTTCTTTTTAACAATTGTATATCTGTTTTAGGGTTTAAACTTCAAAATTGCAGGACATTGTATTTCCAGTTTTCAGCAAATATATTCAAAGAGGATTCCAAGGGTCACAAAAATGTGAATTTGTTGCACAAAAAAACTTAAGAGCTGCCTCAAATTCTCATGCATTCTGGTGAATCCAAAAAAGCTGTCCAACTGTGCTTGGTTGAAATGAAAACTGGGCAAAAAGAAGATGTATTAGCTCTGATTGGGCTCTTAGTCCAGGTAATCCTCAACTTAAAATTGTTTGTTTAGCAATTGTTTGAAGTTAAAACAGCACTGAAGAAAGTGACTTAAAACTGGTCCTGCTGATGACTATTGCAGCATCCTAATGATCATGTGATCAAAATTGGATACTTGGAAACTGGCATGCATTTACAAAGGTTGCAGCATCAATGGATCATGTGATCATCATTTGTGACCTTCTCACCTGCTTTCAACAAGCAAAATCAATGGGGAAAGCCAGATTCACTTAACAACCGCAGTGATTCACTTAATAACCACGGCAGAAAAAGTTGTAAAATTGGATGTCACTCATTTAACAACGGCTTTGCTTAGCAACAAAAATTCTGGTCCCAATTGTGGTTGCAAGTTGAAGACTACCTCTATAATAGCTTATGCAGTCAAGTAACTGAGGGGCAAATAACATGGGTTTTGTTATTTGTTAACTAACATAGTTACCTTGTATTTTAATTTGATTTATTTTATCTCTTTTAAAATTATGTTCAGATTTATTAGCTTTTAACATTCCTAAACTGATAAACAAGCTGGAGACTAGTTCCATATAAGAAAAATTTGTTAGTACAACTTGGGGTCTGGCTTATCTCTTTTGTGAATTCTAAACAATCTTTTTCCTTACAATTATGCCCCTTCAGACCTCATTTTAATGAACATGTGTGATATTATGGGATACAAATAGGTAACATGTTTGACTACAGGTAACTGATTTCCTCTGCAAAGGGGAGGTTACTTTTATTTTGTCCAATCAACTTTCCTCTTGCATTTTCTTTGTTGGTGTTAACTATAAAAAGAAGGGAAACATGAGACTCAGGGTTCTCTTTTCCTTTTTCATAGAGAGACTGACTTTATCAGGGTACCCTAATAAACTGCTTTTAAATGATCCAACAACTCAGTTGCTTATTAGAAAGGTAAACTGAGGCAGAACTTAGAGCCAGATCTGGCTTTCATAACACCATCCCTGCAGAACAGCCAGGTATCAGCAGGTTTAGTGGAAATCTAACATTTAGAAAATATTTATTTAGAAGAAAATGGAGCTGAACCACCAAAATCAGCTTCTGGTGCATGAATATAGGAATGCTGAGGGGCAGGGGGTGGGGGTGAGGGAAAAGGAGAAGGAGGGCAAACTAGTAGGGAGAAAAAATGGAAGAGGACAGACTGAATTCTGCAGCAGCCATCTTGCTGCAGGTCACATTTATAAATATTCAAAGACTCTTTTCTTGTACAAAATGTAGAGGAATAAAATTGAATGAGAAAAGTTTTGAATAAAACCAGCAAGAGAAAAAAGAATAACCTGTGCTTCAGTAGCCTCAGCCTGAGCTTCACCCTCACCCTCAGGCATGGCCTCAACCTCATCTTCCGCTTGTATCTCATTTTCTTCAGTAACAGAACATTTTTCAGTCTCCTGGCAACAACATGTGTAATATTAGAAAGTTAAAGCAAAAAGATTAAATAAGCAATTTGAATTTCTCAATTCTCATATCTAATAAGCCTTATGGAACTGGAATCACATGACTCAATGATGATCATTATGATGATTTTACATAATCTGATTTGGTCACTTGAATTTTTAAAGGCATAATTGAGCGATATCTACCTTTATGTTCTGAGCTTGCATACTCTTTCGTGTTACATTGGTTCGACGTATACATTCATAGATTAATATGGCTATTTTTGCAATTCAATCAGGCATGCTATTTCAACTTTAAAATGGTTAGGTCTGCAAACTCATAATTTCTGTTCACATAATGGGAGCACATTATATTTGAAGCAGCATTCTGACATCCTGGAGAGCTGTCAGGTTCAAACAGAAGCCTTATTCATGTCTTACTGATGAATAGGCCACACAGATATATTGGCAGATCTGGGAGAATGCTTTTCACTCACCCTTGATAATGCACTCATGAGCTAGCTGTGTCTTCTGACTTCCCACACTTGAAAGCCTCAGTATGAAATTGTAGCTGTGATTTGGATCTCCACTGGTCTGGCATCTGGCCTGCCTAGAACTGCTCATAAGTACAACTATATGTACACCCTGAGCTTTTGCACTGAAGACAAATTCCTTGTGTATCCAATCATGTTTGGCCAATAAATGTTCTGATCTATTCTGTTCCATTCTGTGCTTAACCTGAGAAGATTAGAACACCACCCCACTTCTGCAATATACATAAGTATCCTATACGCCTGCATGCAAGTAGAAGAATTTCACTGTGTCTTTCACATGTTTGCAACCATGATAGTCTTTATAGAATCAGCGGTCACCAACCGGTGGGCCATGAGAAATTTTGGTGGGCCGCAGAGAAATCTCACCCCCAGAGCACCCTCACAAAGCAATTAACCCAGGCTGCACAGAAACACAAGGCTGCGCCACCCACATGGCCCGTGGGAACCCTCCCCCGCCCACTCACTCCTTACCCGGTAAACTTGACTGCTAAATTGCTATTTTTCCTTTTTCCAACCATCATCTGTTCTGCTGTGCCGGGAGATTTACATTAGCTAGGAAGCAGGAAATGGTTGGATTTCTTGCTTCCTAGCTAATCTTTAGATCTTTGGCCCAGCACAGCCAAACCTCCTTTAGGACTGAAGGTTTGCTTGCAAGCAAATTCAGTGCAGATTCAGTGCAAGCAAATTTGAGAGACTGAGCTAGCTGATGACAGATAGATAAGATCACTTAATGATTCTGAGAGCAACTCAATCTGCCTGCTTTGCCTGATTTGGGGTAAAAGTTGCTCTTTTTTAAATAAAAAATTCAATATTTATATGCATGGTGTATTGTGAATTAATTTTCTGAGTTTGCTTGCTAACAAATTTTATGTGACAGACTGAGCTAGCCAATGGCAGATAGATAGATCTCTGAATGAATCTGTGATTCTGTGAGAAACTCAATCTGCCTGCCTGCTTTGACTGATTTTGGGTAAAAGTTGCTCTTTTTTATAAAAAAAATCAATATTTATATAAATATTTATAATATTTACATACAAGCCATGCCCAGCCAGTCACATGACCACCAAGCCACACCCACAAATTAGGCCATGCCCACAGAACCGGTTAGTGGTCCCTGGGATCTAAAATTATGAGTTTGGTGGTCCCTGAGGTCCAAAAGGTTGGCGACCCCTGTTATAGATAACAGGCAGATTAAACCTATTCCTTAAGAATTCTGGGTTTTTTTCCTTTGAAACTAAATTCAACACAGACTTGCATGCATACATACATATTTTTGCTATGGAAAAGGAAAAAAAATATATTGCCTCTGCAGTTTTGTTCTCTTCTCCAGAAATATCCCCATTTGGCACAGTCAGTACCTCCTCTGTAATCCTCCCTTCCTGTGCAAAAGGATACAAATAATATTTGAAATTTTCTTGAAACTAAGTACAAGTAAGTGAGACTGGCAGTTTCATGGCCTGAATGCACTACAGTGATAGATTCAGGATATATAGTTGCATTCTTATGCCTTAAAAATGCAGCAGAAACCAGAGCAATTACTGGTTCTCTAACTTTTGTTATTTATTATCTCACTTTCTGGAAAACACAACATCATAACAAATAGAAGGCATAGAATAACTTGGAGAAAACACTGAAGCATTATCTCATCCTTCCCTTCATTAATAGGTAATGAACTTCTTTGGTTATGATAATCTTTATATAGACTTCATTGGACCAAATGAGGATATTGCCTAAGGCCACAGATGCTAAAGTCAGAAAGTGGCTGGATTCATAAGTTACACCAGGGGTGTCAAACTGGATTTCATTGAGAACTGCATCAGGAAGGTGTTTGTTTGACCTTAGGGGGCCAGGTGGGCATAGCTGGGGTGGGCGTGGCCAGCTCGATGTCACTCATGTCAGGGGCACCTGTGGTGGCCCAAGCGCTCTGCCAGTTAAAATGATGCTCGGGAGGACTGCATACGGCCCTCCTGAACTCCATTTTCATTGGCAGAGGCACCACGAGCCAGTCCTTCGCTATTTCCAGGGTGGCCCTGCGGGCCAGATCTAAGCATTCTATGGGCCGGTTTGACACCCCTGCATTACACCTAAGGTATGAATGATGGTTTGCAAATGGCAATAATTAGGCATATACACCACTCTGATCCAAACCCAAACAAGCTATGTTATTGCTTAGTGTAATATGTGAATTTAGCCAAGAATCATGGATGGTATTTTGGAGGGAGGGAGGCTGTAGTCAAGGCCAGTTCCTCATTTTTTGAAAGATAGAGCTGTTGAGTAGTGTATTATGCAGGCTACCTGCACCTCTTAAATTAAACTATTCTCAGTAGACAATCTGCCCTATGAATAGTGAGTATTTTGACTGTTTCTGCAGAATGTACATTTCTATAATGTCATCATAACCCTGATAGTAAAACATCTTGAGTAGGTATATCATTTTTAAAAACAATGCAATATTACAATACTGTATCTCTACTTTTGACTAATCAGGGAACTTCCAAGTGCAGATTAGTGCACAAATGCTATACTCATTAGGATTAAGAGGGAATGTAAATAAGTATTAATCAAACTGAATACTGATGCCAGAAATAAGTTTGGAGAGGCAAACTGCATGAAAAACTCTTTTTCAAATGTAAGAAAAGTATTTGACCTGCATAGAATTTAAGTTTTCATTATAACTACATTGGTATTTATTAAAAAATGATGTATTTCTTTTCAATCATTATGTTTTAAGTTGTTTTTTTAGGATTCCTGCTCTGTTTGAATTAAAAGAAAAGTAATATTGTTTTTCCTTTATTATCCCCTTATTATGACATAGAAGTGTAGAATCGCATCTTATTGTCCTTAAAGATTCTGACAACAGAAGAGCTGTGGTGGTGCAGTGGTTAGGATGCAGTACTGCAGGCTACTTTTGCTGCCTGCCGGCTGCCTGCAGTTTGGCAGTTCAAATCTCACCATGAGGTTGACTTAGCCTTTCATCCTTCCGAGGTCAGTAAAATGAGGACCCAGATTGTTGGGAGCAATATGCTGACTCTGTAAACCACTTAGAGCTGTAAAGGACTGTGAAGCGGTATATAAATCTAAGTGCTATTGCTATCTAGCTTTCCCACATAATCACTGTGTTTCAAATTACATTAATTGCATTAATAAGGTAGAAAAAAAATTCTCAGAAATTTAATTTAGCACAGAAGTGTAGTGAAAGATGATCAGGAAACACAGTATATTCCATCCAACTCATTTTCTCTTTCCTTTTCCCTCACTTCCCTTCATAATCTTACAACATGTCAATGCTACTTTCCTTTTAAGGCAGAGGTGGGGAACTATGGCCCCTTTATGACTTGTAGATTTCAACTCCCAGAATTCCCTGCTGGCTCAGGAGTTCTGGGAGTTGAAGTCCACAAGTCATAAAATGGCCATCATTCCCCACCTCTACTTTAAAGTATCAGGGAGAGGGGACATTCTCTTATGGAAAGGAATAACTATTTGGCTTTTCATAAATTTCTTGATATTTTTCTAGCTTCTTGATCTTAGTTTATACTCTCAGATATCTGTTGATCATTCAATTTAGAGTTTAATAATATCTGAAGGCAGTGGTGGGCTCCAACTAATTTAACAACTGGTTCGTCCTAAAGATCAGGTGAGCATGGCTAGAGCTGTATGTCATGTGACTGAGTGGACCTGGCCAACTCAATTTCACTCACAGCAAGGTGGGGCAACGCAGGCAGGCCGAAGCAGCAGTGGTCGGAGCCTTAGACTTACCTTTGTGCAGCAAAGCAACAGTGATTCTCCAACGCCTCATCTCTTGCTGAGTCTCGCTGCCTGACAGTCAGGGTTTTTAAAAAGGTTTTTGCAGCAGGAAATGGCTACTTCTGGCCTTTGTTGCTGCATATGACCCCGCCCAGAGACACTGGCCTGCAGCCACCACTGCTCTTTTTCAGCATGAGAATCCTGCAGCTGCCCGTGTTTTTCAGTTCAAGAAGCCTACAGCTGCCGCTTTTTGCCAGCGTGAAGGGCCTGCAGCAGCTGCCTCTTTGCCGTCTGGAACCAAGCTGGGAGCAGCGGCTGGAGGCTTCTCGTGCTGGCAAAGAGATGGTGGCTGTAGGATTCTCATTGGGGGGGGGGGGGAATGGTGAGAATCAGCCATCTTTCCAGCCCTGTTCTGGGCTGGAAGGGTGGCATGCAGGCAGAGGCCCCGGGGAAGGTCAGAGCCAGGAACTGGCACATCCCCTGACCCGAGGTGAGCGGGTGGCATGCAGGCAGAAGGATGGCAAGAGCCAGGCCCGAATGCGGCTGAGCGTTGCCATGTCCACCCAAGGCGACCCTTTGGCTGAGCACCTTATCTTCACAGGCAGCCACAGTGAGCAGAGCGGGCAAGTCATGGAGATCAGCTGGGCCACATGGTCTGGGCGAGCGAGCGAAGGAGGCAGAGAGTAACTGGGTGCATGTGTGACTCAAGCCACCGGCCAAGGCAGGAGAGGCAAGATAGGGCGAGACGGGGTGGGCGGGGCCAGCCAGTGGTGGGATTTTCCGGTTTGCCGAACTGCACAAAAACTTAACAACTGGCACGCCGGAACCGGTACAAACCAGCAGCAGTCCACCTCTGTCTGAAGGACCTACTACAGGTTGCCTGCCCTGGTTTAATGCATACATTTTAAAAGAGAGAGTGAGAGCTGGGAGATGTAGAGCTCACTGGACTATGCAGTGGAACTAAGTGGCCTCCAGCTATCTGAAACTGCAGCTTCATTTTTTTAAAATAAAACAAAACAGTACAACAATTTTATAAGACAAATCGAAAGAAAAATAAGACCCATAAGATAAATTCATACCATTGAGCCTAGTGGAGGAGCAACTCCCAGGAATGAATAAATATAGTTTTCTTCTTTTGCATAGAAAAATGAATCAAAATCCTAAAAAGGAAACAAAAGTACATAAACATTACCTTAGCTTTTCAGATTAAACCAGTCTAATATAGCAAAAAAACAGGATTGTGGAATGTCACTTGTTTAACTATCCATCTGATTGACATATTAGCATAGTCTTTCACTGTTAGCATTCTCCTGCATTGTAGTAGTGGTGGGCCTAAATTAATTTAGATCAAGAAATCTCTTTCTCACAAATTTTAGGAAGCATGTATATGCAATTCTTAAACACATTACCCTTTAATTACCCTTTAAACTTTTTTTTTCTTACCCCACAATATTGTTCCTCATTGAATATCTGGGGAGGGAGAGGAATCCCATTTTGTGGCTTTTTTTCACCTGGAACATTTTCTCTCATCCATTTCCGATTGTCTTCATCACAGGCTATGTCCATTTCCTTAAAATCAATTTTATTGGCCTCTAAAAAGCCTACTACTTCTTGTTGTTTCTTTTTAATCTGGTCAGATAAAAGAGAGAAGATGAATTTATTATTTCATATTTCAATTTAATGGAGGCATAACAACACAATCTTTTATTCAAATTATAGCTGCAGTTGAATATTTAAATGGAAAACTCAAAAAGAAAGACTACTTGCTTAGGACAGAGCAGAGGCTAATGTGAGAGAGTAAGAGTGACTATTAATAATGGATGATTCTTTTGCAAAGGAAGCACAATTATATATAATTAAGTCTTACTGATTTCAGCTTACCACCAATTTGTGTTTAGAATTGTACTATTATTTGGTAAGCTTCATTAGTCAATCTTGGCTGATCTCAGAAAAACTAAGCAAGATTAGTCATAATTAGCTCTTGTAAAGGAGGCTGCCAGGATGAAGATCAGTTCTGACTGAATCCTGGCTAAGCTGATATTGCTATACTGGTGGCTTATCTTCCCAATGATCTGCAACATGGAATTTACCTTTCAAAGTAGAGTAAAAACACATTGGGTCAATGCTTTAATTGGCTTCCCACAATAATTTGGAACTCAAGGTTTAAATAATTATCCGTGAAATAAGAAAAGATGTTAAATTTAAGTATTTTAGTCTCTAATCATTAAGCTCTTTATATGCAGCCATAGCTGGGCATAAAATGAGCATGGATCTTTTTTTTTTAAGACTATACCACCAAATAGCAAAGGCTAACTGAAGATTGCTATCATTGGACAATAAGCTCTAAATGGGCAGGAAGCAAGAGCCAATTTCTTTACTTCCACACACATAAAAAATAGAGGGATAGAGAGATGCATTGTTGGATGTGAAAGAAATAAGGATGACAGTTGATAAGGTGAACTGCTAGCAGGGATACAAATCAGATGTCTTGTCTCCTTCCCAACCCAACCCTCATAACTAGCCCTTTGTTCTTATATGACATCAACTGTCCTGTATTGCTTTCAGGTGTGAGGGGGAATTCTACCCCATTGCCAAGCACTGAAATAAAGTTCAGCTTTTAGTCCAGATGATTTATAGGATTACTAGAATATAGGATGTTTTGCAGGCCATGTCTTGCAAATACAATTACTTGATTATATGAGATGTGGTCAGGAGAAGCAATTTATCTTACAATATTGGTAAGTGAAAAGAAGAGAGAAAACGTCTATGTACATTGTTGTTCCTGTGGAAGACAAGGTCATCCATTCTTGGAATGCACACATGTAATTCTCTTGTCACAGAATAATTTGTGGGCAAAGCAGTAACAGAGTTGTTTTTAGCTACCCTGGTCAGCACCCACTTAGCAAGGTTCATTTGTAAGGAATTGGAGGAATGTCCTCACAATTACAGGGCTTCAAGTGTTTTAGTTTGGCAAGCACTTTTTCTGATGATTTCCAAGAGCAAAGCACAAATCAGGAATGAGGATCATTGGGCATCTGTCATAGCTGAACTTTTGCAAGTGTTCCACGATTCACCCTAGAGATGAAGCAGTAGCCTCTATTTGTTTGGTGCTGTCTCTTTCAATGCTTTTGTATATTTGGACTCAGTGGGAGTAAGCAACCAAATCTGAATAAGGAAGAGATGAGTCTTCTGAGAAAGGAAGATTGATTAAGGGTAGCTTTCTCCTGTTCTCTAACCCCAAAACTTGCACTGATACTGGATGCAAGCAGTTTTGAAGTAGCAACTAGAAATGATAAGTAGCAATGAATAAATAAATCACCAGGAAGGAAATAGAATAACACTAGCCTATGAATAAACTCCATATAAAAATGTCCAGGTAAATAAAAAATATTAATATACTGTATCTGCAGCATTGCATTTGTAGCGCAAACTTATCAATATCTACTTAAAACACAATCACAATAAATGTAGTGTGTCATACTTCTAAGCATTTACAAATACAAACATATGCATTTAACCACAAGACAAGGTTCAAATCCAGCCCTTAATCTTATTCAAACCTTCTATACAGTTCTTATGACTTCCTTTTTTAAAATCTAGTTCAGAAACTATCAGGCAGATTTTAAATCAGCCCAAAATGAGTACATCCAACAGAAAAGAAATCAACAAACCCAAATCTTAATTAAGTAGCTTTTATTTCTTGTAAATTAATTTGAAGCTTCAGCACAGAGATTTAGCAGTACTGAAATCAAGGTCTCTAGTGGGATGGATGAGCTTATTGGATGAAAGACTGGAAGACTTAAATTTCCTTTTCCCTTGGCGTCCTCTCCCCAATCCCTGGGTTCCACAGCCTATATTATTTTCTTGTGATTTCAAAGGACAAAAAAGAAAGAGAGAGAGAAACAAAAGAAATTATGTTAGGCCATCTTGTAGATTTGTGGTCTTGAAGAGTGTGTGACAGTGGTGGGATTCAAATTTTTTTACTACTGGTTCTGAGGGTGTGGCATGGTGGGTGTGGCAGGGGAAGGATACTGTAAAATCTCCAGTCAGAGATGATATTTGCCGGTTCTCCAAATTACTCAAAATTTCCACTCCTAGATCTTCAGAACTGGTCAGAACCTGCTGAATACCACCTCTGGTGTGTGACTATAGAAATTATCCCCTCCTTTTCTTCTTCCTTTGTGGAGAGGGAGATTAAATCACATTGGAGATAAACAAAATAAAACTGAATTAAAAAGAAGAAGAAAAGTGTACAAATTTCATTGTAGTTATAAATAAAGCAGTTAACAACACAGAGACATTCAAAATACAATAGTATTTGAAAACAGTTACCAACAGAAAAATCTATTGAACAATAAAAGCTTCTGAATGGATTATAAGATCCGATTTTCCTGTTAGTATTATAGAAACAATGTCAATGTAAAGAGGGGCCAATTTGCACAAACTGATTAAAGATAGAACTTGTATAAGAGAGAATAATTATTAGTGGCAATAAATTGCAATATCTCTAGTCAAAGTAACCTTATATACCTAATCATTGCGTACATGTCGGGAAGATCTGTGCAGAAAAGGAGGTATCTCTCCATCATTCCCAGTCAAAATTGCAGGGACAAAGGGACACCTTTACCAAATCAGATCTTTGGCCTATCTAATTCAGATTTATCAATCCAAGAAGCATTTCTTGTAGGCCTACCGTAAAGTGCCTGGGATCAATTCTGGAGGTTTTTGAATGCAAATCATATTCCTTAGTCCTGAGTATGAGTCCATCACAAGGGTACCAATGAGCAACTGTCACTGTTCATCCTTGCAATGGGATGTGCTACGTGGGGAGGAGCGATGTTCATTCTGTGACCCAGAAGAGAAAATACAAGCTTCTCCTTGTCATCTGCTACATTCCTTTTAAGAATGGAAGCAGCTAAATAAAACAAACAAGGTTTCATATGTCAATAAACAATAACAAATGGTTTGTGTGGAAGCTCAATAAATCTCTGAAATACAGGTAATCCTCAACTTACAACCACAACTGAGCCCAACATTTTTGTTGCTAAGCAAGATAGTTGTTGAGTGGTTTGTCCTCATCTTATCACCTTGTTTGCCACGGTTGTTAAGAGAATCACTGCAGTTGTTAAGTGAATCAAGTGGTTGTTAAGTTAATCCGGCTTCCTCCATTGACTCTGTTTATCGGAATCTGGCTGGGAAGGTTACAGCTGATGATCATATGACCCTTGCACAGTGCAACTGTCATAAAAACATGCCAGTTGCCAAGCACCTGAATTTTGATCACATGACCATAGAATGGTCGTAAGTGTGAAAAATGGTCATAAATCACATTTTTCAGTGCTGTTGTGACTTTGCGGGGTCAGTCACTAAATGAATGGCTATAAATCAAGATTACCTGTATTCTACATATAAATTCCATTTCTTGATTGTTGCCTGGATGATTTCAGGAAGAAAAATAACAGGTAAAAATTTAAAATCAACAACATATAACTGTAACTGAATCTACTCCAGTGAGACTACTCATCGAATTACTTTGACTGAAGATTTGATCATTACAACAAATAGTTTCATTGTAGAATTACTGAAGCATCTAGAATTAAGTTTTATACCAGCAGGACCATTAATACTGTTACTTTCCTTTTGTTTTTATAGATTTGTTGTTGGAAAGTAAAGACACATCATGATTTATGGTAATTATAACACGGCTTTACTTGTAGCTCTGCAAGCAGATTATTCTTTTTTACTTTTTGAATTATAAGCTCAGACTCAAAAATAACCAGTTTTATGTTTTACCTTGGTCTGAAGGAATCTAATACTTTTCTAACATAAACAATAAAAAATGTGGAATATACCTTATATCAGTGGTCCTCAAACTTTCTTCAAGGAAAAATAAAGTAAAAGGGAAGAAGGTATTACTTGGGTCAGAAACAGTACAAAACTTATTTCTGTGACAACTGACCACAGACTGACACATCAGCAAAGTTTATACAATTTTGGTGTGAATGAGATGTTTTTATGACCATGAGAAAACAGGAAAAACAGCTTTTATAGTTAGAGGAAATATTCTGTTATCTTCTCTATCAGCAGAGATCTTCCTGGCTAGGCAGAGGTATAAGAGCATGGGTACAAGTATTAAAACTCCAATGCCTTTTCAATCTGTCAATCATGATAGATTCCAGGGCTATCTGCCAGCATTCTTTGCCTTTAAGGAATTTTATTAGTGGTATTTTATTAGCGGAGAGAGATTTCTCAGACTTCAGATCAGAAGGCTGTTAAAAGGAAGGGGGCAGATCAAAGGTTTTTTAACTTCTATCAATCCCCACTTACGCATATTCAATTTATTGGATTTTGCACACCAATAAAAGTTTGTTAATGATTGTGGTAGCCATGGTCTGTTCGTATGGAAGACTTTCTTAGATCTGACCAAGAAAAATACTGTCATTGCCAACTGTCAATATCTAGTTGACAGTTGGCAATAACAACTAGCCTTGTGCTGTGACCGGAATAATCTTGAACTAAACACACTCAAAACCATAGAAATGGTGGTAAATTTTAGGAGAAACCCTCCTATATTACCACTTCTTACAATACTAGACAACACAGTATCAACAGTAGAGACCTTTACATTT